CCCCGTGTGTCCTCGTCGACGTCGCCGCCCGAACATCAATTGGTCGCTCCTGCCCGTCCATCACGGCGTGCGGACGCGTCCTCTGAAGAGCCGACCGTATCTTTTTTATCATTCGACAGGAACATGTTCCTCGGCTCCTGTCGGTAGCGTCACGCAATGCGTCATGTGCCATAGTAGAAAGCTCCTCGAGCTTCTGTACTATAAAATAAAAACGAAAGAAAATTATTATCAAGTGGATGGTGAGAAAATAAAACTCAGAAAATATTGTATATTTTTCTTATACACTTACCAACTCTCTCTCGACTGGGCCTCTGGTATGTACTCATTCGGGCTTTGTTTTCCTCCTGAAATATCCACCGGCGAGTAATCCCCAATACCACGCGTAGGTACACACCTAGGTCAGGTGCATCAGCCCTCTCCATCACTACTGTCTCCTTAAACCCACCTATGGATGTAATTTTGGCGAATTATTTGCCAATTAGCACGATGTGCATCTTTTCTTGGATCTCTCTCTAACTGTCTCTCCACAGGCCGCTGGATATATGTTGCCGTAGTCCAAATTGTCGAAGCACACGGTCAGGCAAGTGCATTTCGAACAATCTCAAGCATATAAGGGGACGCGAGCACGCCATACATCTCACCCTCTCGCAAATATTCCGTAGTAGACTCCAACACTAGCTCGTAGGGCATCCATTGACCTATAAAGAAGATATTATGAGATATGAATGAATATATTTAGATATCGCGTAACAATTGTCGCATAATTGAATATATTTAGACATTATAATTTTATACCTGGCGGTCATCCTCCATCTGATCAAAGCTCATTTCTGTAAAAGTTTTCATGCCCCTTTGGAGAGGTTTGCCAAGATCTGGACACATTCCATCTATTTTATATACAACGGTTAGTATATATTGAAATAAAGCACTAAAATTACATGCATCTTAATAATACTCTGCAGCCTAACGAAATAATGCCATCGAGAGCGGGGCCTCCCTCAAATCAGGTGTTCCCATATGCAATCGCTCCCATGACCATATCTGCCAGCAAAGTGAGGCAGCCCTTCAATTCTTTTTTTGTAGCGAGTGCTATTTTCGTCATCTCTCTATACAAGTAGGGCTAACACTGGCACTCCCCCACAGATAACTCTCCACACTTTCTAGGTCCCAAAGAAAGCGTAACATCTCACGTGCACGAATCCTTATGGAATCCGAAACAGAATAGTACGATATATGTATAAATATATGCACGGGCATAGCGCTTAATGATCTCATCAGTCGCATCGATCCGGTACATTCTGAAAGTTATTCCTTAACCATGTCGAGTTTGATCTTTCCCCCTTCATTGTAGGAGTGTGACCCAACAAATCTTCACACTTAGTGCCATACGTGGAAGTCATCGTGCCCGTCACTGCATCACCATCTACTCTGAGGCCAAGATAACCCAACATCCTGTAAGGTAATCGTCGCCTCTCCTTGGCGCAGATGGAAAGTATTTGTCTGCGGTTCCTCCACGTTCAACCAATGCCGTCAAAAGTGCCCAATCAAGTTTACCCGATTTAATTATGTGTGAACACTCAAAAAAGCCGGTTGAACGCACATGAAATATTGTATCTGGTTGGATCGTCAACTCCCGCAGAATGTCAGGGTATGAGATCGACAATAGTATACTCGGGGCCTGCATGTAGTAAACTAGTGCAAATGTTCAGTAACAATCAACTACATTGAAATTATAGTATAATTGAAAATAATTACAAATTGCACGTTTACCTGCCCAGCGTCTATGCTTCGGCGAGATCGGTGGCGCTCTTGTCAATAAAGAACATCACGTGTCAAGGGACCCGCCATCCATAACTGAAATATCCTGCAGCAGTATTAACGATATACATTAATTGATCTATATTGAGTTATGAAAAAAAATTGATTTTCTATAAGCATTGATTTTAAGCATTGATTGACTAATAAGCATATGATGTTTACTATAAGCATTGATTTACAAATGTATAAAATTTGTAACCCATTAATTGCTTATCTACTTGGCATTGGTGCGGCAATGAGGGATCTTCTATGCCGGCTTGGTCTGCAATATCCACATCTATTTTTTTCGGACCTCTTCCCGGCTTCATCACATAGTCCCTTTAGCGTACTGATCGGGGCGTCCTGGCTTGTCTCTTTAGCTTGGAGCACCACAATGCGCGTTATAAGTTGTGCCATAACGACTATCATGTAACGGGGTGGAAACACTGCTTATATGCCGTTCTATGTTTGGCTTGATTGATACCACCAGAAGCGTATGTGTAATACGAAGATATTTGCACCCCCGATTTGCTTGGACCGTAAACCGTATACAGTCGTGGACAGCAATTTTGTGCAATTCTGGTATGTACAGGTGCATGTGCAATTGACACTCCCAAATATGACGGTGTAATTTGTGACCATGTTTGTCTGTAACTCCCATTCCATCTAGCAGCAATCTAAAATCTTTCGTGCCTCTCGCCTGCTTAACTCCGAGGCCTTCTAAAACGCCTCATTTTTGGTAGTCAAGAACGAGGCCCACATTGCTCCATCCTTCGCCGAGCTTGACAAAATAGTAAATTGAAGCCTATAAAATGTCCCGCAACCAACGGCCTGTATGGGCATTAGCCGAGCCCCCTTAAAGTACCCCGTTGAAAGCTTTCAGAACAATTGGTTTCTTCGATACATGCAGAACCGATTCCTCCATCTTTACTGAGTGCCCACACGTGTCGAACGTATCACTGCTCAGACTCTTTCAATCCAATCAGTGCAGCTTGAGATGGCTGCCTGATTGTCCGTATCCGATTCAACACAATATGTTTCCCGCGTACAACCGATTGCCACAGAAGTTTTGTAAATGATCTGACTAAAGCTCTTTTGCAAGTCTAGCTCTAAGTGTCCGTAAGCAATAGCGATGATGGTGATGAGAAGCAAATTCATCCATATATCTGTTTGGAATACCTTTCATCCTATCGATATGAAAAGTAATTTTTCTAGAGGCAATACACATTAAAAATACTATAATTGAATGGCCAGCAAGAAAAAACCATCCATTTTCACGTTCTCAGGCCTCCACAACGGCGAAGGCCAAAGAGAATAAGCCACCACTGCATCAACTCTGTAGCAACAAGCAGTACACCTTGTAATTTACCGTATAAGTGTGTCGGCCAATCAATGCTAAGAATAGGGCCGCACAAAACTTTGAAACCCTCAATATAGGCCCCAATACCCAAAAACGGAGAGTGAATGATGAACTCCCGCGATCGATTCTCTTTGGTTATGAGTTGTATTCAGATCCCAGGATTATTTCTTTTGATCGCATCAAGATAAATTGAGGCTACGTGTCGCGTAAGACTTGTTCCCAATCACCAAATATTTTTGTCATCGCAATTTTCTTGCATTCCATGCTTTATATACGAGAGGGTTTTACATGAACTTGGTATCAAGCACTTTCATCAATATAATATATCGGCGTATAGATCAAGTTTTCCTAATTTTGCATAACAACCGCGCTATGTAGAGGGCAGATGCAACGCACGTGTGATCTTGCGCTCTAATATTGGATGACACATGTGTGAAACACCGCAGTATTCACTGATCCTAAATGAAAATTGTGTTTTTTTCCATCAAATGCATATAACTTCAAGGACATGAAGTAATCAGCTTTCATTTCTCCCTCGGTCAGGGACCTGTTTCTTTTGTGTGTCATAAACATATCTGCATCATAACTTGTGCGATTGCTTTTAATATTGCTGTGAACTTGAAAATTCTTTTCGAAAGAGTATTCACGAATTAGCAATCAAACAATTGGTCTTTAGTCTCGAATAAATCACCAACTTAAGGGGCGCGTCATCATCTCCTCTACGAGTTGAACGTTTCACCGATGCACAATTCTTTTACTGTGGAAGAACGATCACATCATCACTTTCAAACTCGATCGGGAAGGGTGGTCTTAATTATCAACGTATGTCATTAATTACGTAAAGCCTCATCAGGCCCATTCCGGCATTATCTTCGAATCTTGTACAAATTGCATACTATGCAACTGGTGACTGTATATGTTCTTCTCCCGAGCATTGCTTCTATTATCACTCTCGATGATGGCCCTACTTAACGCCCCATATTTCCATAAGAGACTTCGTTATTCATGACATTTGACCGTTCCAACCGAATTTGAGCCCCGAGCCCATTCTCATTCGAAGAAGGAAAGAATAACCCATCGAATTAACTCTCATATCTAACATGCGTGAGAATTTCTGCGCGGAGGTTTGAATATTTGGCATCGGATTATGGTGTAACTTTTCAATAAAACATGTCTACGTTTGTGCGACTTGCCAAATTTACAAAACATATATAAGTCAGATCAACGACTGCGTGTTCTATCATAATAGCTACTGGGCGCAATTGCATATAATTTTCAGTCCGGTATTCGTGCGCCTGGTCAATTTCGTAAAACTCGGGTATTCCAATAACCAAGTCGTAGTACTATTGATTCCGAGAATCAATTAATGGCGTTTACCCTCGAACCGTACATTAGGCATATTTATCATCCCATAATTAATTTGCCACTCATCAAGAACAAACATAGAACATAATATTGTTCAACCGATCAAACAGAAATATATCATTTAATATACAAAATTAAATTAATATGCAAATAATCTCACTAATATTTCAACCAAAACCCTAATTCCCAAATTGCTAAATCCCTAACCCTAAAATTGACAATTGAACATTATATTGCCCTTAAATCTCTTCTTCTGG